CTTTTTACTGTAATTTAAACTCAACTAAATTTTTTATTTAAAAAAATAATTTAAAATTTTAGATTGTAAGTTATTTTAATTAATTATAGTATTTAATTATACTTTTTAAAAATTCAATTAATTTTTTTATTTTAAATATAAAAAGTAGGTAAATTATTTTTATTGATTATTACTTTAATATATAAAATAATTTTTTTTTTAAAAATATTCAATAAATTTATATATTTATTAAATATAATTAAATTTAGTAAGTTTTATTTTAAAGTTATAATAAAATTATAATAATAATACTAATAATATAAAATATTTATTTAGAAAAAAAGTAATATTCTCAATTTGTAATATAAAAAATACTGGATATAAATAGTATAATGAATGTAATTCTAAATTATTGTAACAAAATTTTTTCAATTGGACTAGTAAAAATAAGTTTATTGATAAATTTATTCAAGAAATTCAGCTAAGTGCTAAAAATACAAAGCAAATATTAGAATGGATTCCTTATAATAAATTAGTAAATATTGAATATCTTGATAAATGAGTATTCAGCACTATATATAAAGCTACTTGGTTAGATAAATATATCAAATCTTATTCATATGATGATAATAATTGGATTAGACATAAAAAAATAAATGTATCTCTTAAATCTCTTAATAATTCATTTAATTTAAATGAAGAATTTTTAAATAAGATATGAAATTAATAATTAATTTTAATTCTAAATAATAAATTTTAATAAATTTTATTTTTTAGTGAAAATATCATTATAAATGTTTTAGTCAATTAAAAAAATATTCAGAAGAAAGTCTTATTCAATTATATGGATTTACTCAAGATCCAATTATATTAAATTATATGATAGTAATAAAATATGCAAAAAATAGTAATTTAAAAAAAAATTTATTAAATATAGTTAATGATAAATAGATTATTAAATTATTACAATTAAATAATATTATTAGTAGACTTAATGAAATATATCAAAATAATCTTATTCATTGTGATTTTCATCATGGCAATATTTTAAACTTAAGAAATAATATTTTATCTATTAGTGATTTAGGATTATGTAAACCTGTAAAATATTTTTAATCATCTAAAAATAATGATATTTATGGTGTTTTACTATTTATAACACCTAGAGTTTTAAGAGGTCAACCTTATACTTTAGCTAGTGATATTTATAGCTTTTCTATGATTATGTGTGAATTAATATTTGGAATTCCTCCATTTAATAATAAAGCTCATAATCTTCAATTATGTTTAAATATTTGTAAAGGTAAACGTTCTAAAGATATTAAAAATATTCCAAAATGTTTTACAAATTTAATGAAAAAGTGTTAAAATATGAATCCATTAAAAAGACCAAATGCATCAGTAATTAAAATAATTATTGAAAAATGGAAAAAAAGTATTATTTCTAATAATTTTGAAAAAGAATCAAAGGATAATATTTTAGATTTTTATAAATTAGATAAAGTATTAAAAAAAATGCAAAATAATAATAAGGTTACTGTTAAATCACATCCACAACATCCACAAGCATATCATACTAGTCAATTACTTAATTTTACTAAAATATTAAATAATATTTTAGATTTAGAACTTAGTCAAAGTATTGGTAATTATAATATTATATTATATTTATAAAATATAATTTTAATATATTTTTTAACTTATTATATTTATTTAATTTAATAGAAGCCTTAAATTTTACAAGTATTAAGATAAAAAATTTAAATTAAATATTAAATTATTTTTTATATATATTTAATTATTTGTAAAATAGTTAAAAAAATTAATTATTTTATTTATATTTTATAAATATTTATTAGTAATACTATATATAGAATATTTTTTATTAAAAATATAATTTGTAATTACTAAAATAAATTTATAAATAAATTAAAAGCAATTTGTAATAATATATATAATATATAAATTTTATATTATATTTTATGATTTTAAATTATAAATTTTTTTTTTTAAAATATATTAAACCAAATTAAATATTTGAAAATAAATTAATTACAAAGTATAAATGATCTGAATAACATATATGTTTGCAATGACTTATATATTATATATGTTTTTTATGTCTTCTATAACATACAATATATTTTATCTTTTATTTAATATATTTATTATATTATTATAGTTATTATATTTCTTATATTTCTTATATATTTTTGAATATCTCATGTATTTGTTTTTATATAAATATATATTGAGTTTAAGGATAATGAGTAATAGTATTTTTAAGTATTTCCAGTAATTTGAATACTTTAGTATAAAATAAGTTTAGTTTAATATAAAACATTTATACAATACTAAGTGTTAATAGAAGCAATACTTATTTGTTAAGACATATAAAATAAATTATCATCCTTTTTAATTTAACTTATAATTTATTTATAAATTTACACCTTTTATTTCCTTATTACATTTTTAATATTTAAGCAATTCTAAAAAATTGACCATAATATTATAAATAATTATAATAAAAATATTATTTTTTTGTTTTAAAATTATTTTAAATATTATGAAATATTAATAATATATATTATTGCAATTTTAAAAATATTTCAAATAAACTATTAATATAAAAAATAATATTAAAATATTTTATATAAAATAATATTAAAATATTTTATATAAAATATTATTAAAATAATTTTATATTTATAATTATTAAGAAAAAGTTTACTATAACTTTATATTAAATTAAGTTAATTAAATACTATAATTTATAATATTTAATATACAGTCAAACTTTTATATAATCACATCCTATATAGTCACATCTTTTTATATACATCTGATTTTAGAAAATAGTTTTAGTTAATATTAAATTACCTTTAATTACTATCACCTATATCACCTATTTTTCCTAAACCTACATATTATTTTTATTAATAATTAGACCTAATGTTATAATATTATATATTTGAATTAACTCTTATATAAGCAGATACTTATCATTTATAAAACATTATGTATAAATTATTTTTAGTTCAAAATTGATTATCATATAATATCTGAATATATTTTAATTAACTGATAGAAATTATATTTTGAATAATATATTTAATAAATTATTTATATGGAATAATGTAATAATACAATAAAAATTATAAATATTTATTATAATTTAATAATAAAAAATCATTATTAACTATAATTGTTTAATGATTATGATATACATGCATGTATATTATTACCGTCAGAAATCAACCTTACTATGCTGATCATCAGTGACCTATGGAATGATGACGTAATAAGTACTATGCCAAATGAATTACAAAACTCCTGAGTTTCTGAATTTTTAGGATCTATCTGATTTATCAGATCTATTTGATACACCTGATAAGCTGGATAATTGTTATAACATTTCACTAGTCGAAATAATCCATTTTGTCACTTTTTTAAAGTGCCGAATGTTGGCCAAAATATAGTCTAATTTCTGCTGATCATTACTAAAACAATCGGCATTTTTATTATAGCCGATGTTGCCCAATTCAGGTGCCACGCAAAAACTATTCAACATTAGCTATTGGTAGTTATTTGATATATCACTAGGTAAAATAATACAATTCGTAACGTTTAAAATGCCGAAAATTAGCCAAAATATAAACTAATTTTACTAATCATTACCAAAAAATCATCACTTTGAGTAAATAGAAAATCAGCCATCAATCAGCATTTATATTAAAAATTGGTCAAAATTCAGCATAAATCAACTTAAAATCGGTCAAAAATCAGCAAAATCAATTAAGCAACTATTTATAAAATTGAAACTAATAAAACTCATTTTTGTTTATTTATGATTTATAATTTTATTTTATTATTACATAATAAATTACTCAAAAAGAATATATATTGTATTATATTTTATTCAAAAAAGATACATTTGATTTTTTTAAAGATAAGAAAAAATAAATAAATAGTTAGAAAATCCACTAAAAATCGCCTCTGAAAGGCTACCTTAATGTATTCCTAAAAAAAAAGTAAAGAAAAAATAAAGAAAACAGTTAGAAACCCACTAAAATACTACCTTCAAAAGGCTTACCTTAATGTATTCCTAAAAAAAAGTAAAAAAAAAATAAAGAAAACAGTTAGAAACCCACTAAAATACCACCTTTGAAAGGCTTACCCTAATGTATTCCTAAAAAAAGCAAAGAAAAAAATAAATAAAACAGTTAGAAACCCACCAAAATACCACCTCCATAAGGCTTACCTTAATGTATTCCTAAAAAAAAGTAAAAAAAAAATAAAGAAAACAGTTAGAAATGAACTAAAATACCATATCTGAAAGGCTTATCTTAATGTATTCCTAAAGAAAGTAAAGAAAAAAATAAAGAAAACTATTAGAAAACCCACCAAAATACCACTTCTGAAAGGTTTACCTTAGCTTTGAAAAGAGAATTTTCCTAAAAAAATCAAAAAAAAATAAAGAAAAACAGTTAAAAACCATCTAAAAGTTACTTCTAATTTGCTTACCTTAATTTCTAAAATAAGAATTTCCTAAAAAACAAGAACAAAGAAAGGAAAAGTTACTTCTGATTCGCTTACCTTAATTCCAAAATAAGAATTTCTTAAAAAAAACAAGTAAAAAGAAAGGAAATGATTAAATTTCCGCCCAAAAATCGCCTCACTAGAAGAAAAAAAGGAAGAAATAAATTGTTTCAGAATATTCTGAAAGTTTATCAGTTTTATATTGTAAATAAACTAAAATTTCAATTAATCAGATTTATCATAAATGCTACAAATGGATGATTTTGCATCATCTGATTGCAAAATCAACCGAATGATGACAAAATCGTTCGAAAGGAATGATAATTCAATCGTTTCTTAAGAATGATATAAAAAATCGTTCAAAAGGAACGATAATTCATTTGTTCTTTAAGAACAATATAGAAAATCGTTCTAAAGGAATGATAATTTGATCGTTCCTTACGAACGTTAATAAAATCATTCAAAAGAAATGATAATTTAATCATTTCTTAACGAACGATGTTAGTGATAGTCTAGTTATGACGCATTAGTACTACGCCAATTACAATTAGCGAATGATGATCCCATCGATCATGGATCTCAACTTTCTCTAATTTCTATAATTTCTATCAT